GCATCCAGTTCTGAGAGAACACAGAGCATGTAAGCATTAAAAAAAACGCTCTGCAAAGGAAAGCCTGCCAGATACCACAGCAGCATGACACCAGATATTCAACAAACACCCGTCCTCTCATCCACATGCTCATTCAAGATCTACTTGAGGAGTGCTGCTACAAACAACGAAGAACCCAAACTGCCTGCTCATTTGCATGGATTTCTTAATACTCAAAATAATTATTCCATGCTGTATTACAAGCAACTTAGTCAAACCAATGTAAAAATCCCAGAGCGATATGGTTTTAAGCCCAGTTTACATAATCTTAATTCTACCTGGGACTTTACCACTGCAACCCAAGCCATTAAACCAGTTATAAATCTACACTAAATTGGTAAAGACTCAAAATTGGTAAAGACTTACCAAAACCTGCAGTTTGTCAGTTTGCCACTAATACTCTGCCTCTAACAGAGCAGCCAGAAAGCCTTTTCTAAAAACAAAAAGACAGCCCATGCTATACTAAGTATACTGAAGATACAAAGGTAACATGCATACATGGGACAGACCAGACAGCTTGTGGACAAGGATTCCTCTTCTGGCATAAGGCTTTCACTTACATATACCTGTGACACAAACAGCATCATCTAAACTGAAATTCTTCACTAAGAGTTGGAAACTACTGAAGATTTCTGCTCAGCCATCTAGCTGCTCATTGTTCATCCTGAACTCAGCTAGCAATGATGCATTTTCTTTAGCACAGAGCTAAAACAGCTGGAAGTTTGAAGCTACTCAAGATGTCAAAGATGACTTCCTTTCTTTGGAATGATGGCTGTGCTGCACTCTACTGCTGTCACACAAAGAAGCCTGCTCTGTCCATCACTGCTCAGACTCGTGAACTATTCCTCCCTACAGCAAAGCACCTGCAGACTAAGTGGCTCTGCAGCTTTGGCCCAATGTGTATATTAGTTCTACCTGCCTGAGTCTCACATCAGGTGATGTTTGGGAAATCTCTTCTTGAAATGTGAATGCTCTCCTTTCATTCTTATTTCTCAAACACAAAGTGTCTTGGCATCTTTATAAAACAGGTTGTAGAGAACAGTAGCAGAAATGTGGTATATTGCATTTATTCATATAACAAGTATCTCTGATGACTGGAAGAAGGGCAGTAAAACTACTAGTTACTTTTTCCAGTCAAAATAATCTCTTTGGCCTCAAGAAATCTTGTAACAGGATCATCACTCAAGATTCTGCTCTGTGATACTTTGGGAAATACCCTAAGTAACTTTCCTCAACTCACAATCCCCATTCTAATAAATACTGCAATATATTAGTCTTCCTTCCTTCTATACTACTTTTTCCTCCTGCCAAGTACCTGATCAATGGATAAAAATCATACCTTCTTGTCTGAAGGCATTGAATAATTCTGCACATAGTCTTGAAGGACAAGCAATACTAAACATGCCCAGACTGAAATAATACATTTCAGACATTCATGGCAAGACTGAAAAATAAGAAAGCAGAAATACAGATCTGAGTGCATTTGACTATTGCAGCAGTCACGGTAACCAACTCACATTATGCCTTGGAAAACTGGACATATTAACTTCAGAACAGTCTCCAGTTCAGCAGCTAGAACAGTGGGTTCTTGGATCTCAGTGCTAAAGACTAATAACCAGGAAATCTCAAAAACTATGACAATTTGTCACACTTCCCACCTGTTCTAAAACAGGCACTAAAGGAAAAATCAGAGTGGGCACTCTGAAGAGATTTGTGGCAGATGACTCAGTAACTGATAATCAATAGCCACACTTCAGAAAAATATGCAAGAAATAGTTAAGGAGCAACTTGCTCACAACAAAGTTTCCCAATAAGTTCAATTAGATACTGGATTTCAGGTAGAATCTCGCTTAACTCAAAGTGAATCTAAATATTTAAGAATCACATAAGGTTCTACCTTTTATGAAATTCAACCAATACAGGATACTGTGACTTTAGAAGAAAATTTACACAACATTATAAATATTTCCCTTATTTCAAAGCATCATATTTTGTTTCAACCAATGACTCTCCAATTGATGCGCAGGTTACTTGGCAAGGCATGGAATTATTATTATTAGTGAGACAGACAGCTATTGTCCATTGATGATCCTGCCACATTTCCTGCTTTCCCCTTTAGAGAAGTGGTGCCTTTAGAGAAGGGAGCACGTTTTCAGAACCCCTACTCGTAGCAGAAGAACTAAAAGAACCTTCCCCCAGCTGTGCAAAGATAATCCTACAAGTGCATCAAGTTTTGGAGGCCTAGCAGAAACATGGATACAGTAAGAAGTACACAATAGTACGACAATGGATTTCTTTACCCTGTTTCTCATAGTGAAAGATTGGTACATTCTTCTCACTTTGTAGGCAGTCCACTTTCAAAACAAAACTACCTAACACATAAATCTTCATGTTTTAGTGTTCATGACTTCAGAACAGTCACTTTTCAATTGTCTGCTTTTCCACAGATGCTGTGTTCCTGCTTTCTTTTGCATTTAGACAGAATGTCCTAGGCTTGCATGAATTATTTTGCTACCTATTAAAAAAAAAAAAAACAAAACAGATACAAAAAGGGGAAACACGCAACAGAGCAGTCAGATTGATCAACACATCAAAATCAACACATTGATTTTCCCCAATATAACATTAGAAACTTAGGGAAAGGAAAACCAAAATAAAGACAGCCATGCAAGAATGATCATTCAGAAATAGTGAATGCACTCCACAGAACAGCATAAACCTTCCCAAAATAAGTATCAGCAATAATTTTGAATGTGAGCAGAGGCTGAAAGAGAGCAGTAACCACCTAAAGAAAAAAAACAATTATTTACATCACCCTATTTAAAAATTCCCATTTAAGAATTTTAGTAGTATGTACATTTGCATCCATGTCTCTGAGCAGGAATAAGATCTGTGCTCCTGTCCTGGGAGCCCTTCAACAGCAGGAATGCAACTGAACATATTAAGCTGCTAGATACAAGCTGTACCTACCCTAACATTTCTTGGCTCAATCTAAAGACATTCAGAATTATTTTAAACATCTACCACAGCAGTAGTATTTCCAACAATGCTGCTTCTCTAAGGCTTAGGTCCAGACACAATTCTAGGAAGATACAGTATCTCATATTATGCAGAGATCCCAAGAACATAGCAACGTAGCCGAGGGGAATGGAAAAAAGAATAAAAATGTGATGAGTTTATTATGGCTGTGCAATGCCAAGTCAGTGCAGTAAAACCTATCTGATGAACTAACCTAGAGAAAAACAATAGAGGAGACACTAGGAAAGACACTAGGAAACAGTTCAGTATTTTTTGTGATCACTGGTACAAAGAGTTAGACTGAAAGGACAAACATACACAAAAGATAAAAACACAAATTCAAGGTAGTCAGAAACACAAGCTCTTGTAAGCCAGAAGTCTAGTGTGCTTCATGATCTAAATCCCCACCAAATACTTTTCTAAATCCAGCGAACTGGTGAAACACACCCAACGACCACACTCAAGCAGGACATACAAGAAAGCTGCAATGCTTGAACAATGTTCCCCGACAACTTCTGGCAGAAGAGAATGCCTGTGCCTTAAAGGTGAAAATGTCTGGGCCACAGTTCCTCAGGAATTTAAAGGAGTGTACTCTAAAGTTGCCTCTCAACTTCCTTCACGTAACAGTCCTATTAAAAAAGCACGCTATTATCAGCCTTTACTGCTTCTTCACGTATTTATCACCCATTTTACACTCTGTCTCTCCTGGTTTTTATACTCCTCTTCCTGCTTCATTCCAGCAGTGTCCGTCACGCCTTCTCATACTTGAAGACTGCAAATCCTCACACTGTGCTGAACTGCAATTTCCCTGATCGTGCTTCTCGTATGCCTGACTCGCCTCCACCCCTGGTGCACCAGCACACATTTCACCGCTCCAGCGGCCAGCCCCGCACC